AAAAAAAAAAAAAAAAAAAAAAAAAAAAAAAAAAAAAAAAAAAAAAAAAAAAAAAAAAAAAAACACGATTACATGGGCTGTTATTTTCCAACAAAGTCAAACAAAATTGCCATAAAAAAACACAAAAAGGACAAAACCAAAAAGAAGAAGAAGCATGAAATGCATCGAAGAAAGATGCTGACATTTCCACATGAAAAAAGTTGTGTCAATGGAGCAAGTTGTAAATGGATGTAGATGAATTGTCTTAGTCTATCGTAATTGAACGGTCGATCATAGATCTCGAACCTTCTCGGGCACCTTTGATCTTAGGTGACGATCTCATGATGATGTCAAGATATCATGTCGTCCAACTTCATGACGCCCGTCAAATTTTAATTTCCATTTAGTTTTTATATTCTAAAATGTTAATTTAGGGTTTATTTTACCTATCATTCAATTTAGTTTATATTTCAAAGTTTTGAGTTTAATTTTTATTGAGTCAATATATTTCAAAAATTTATACTCATATTCTCGATCAAAAGAATATTGATTTTTCCGAAAAAATAATTAAAACACAAATTTTCAAAATAAAAATAAATAATAAAAGTGAAATTAGGAATCTCCCGCTATGGTATTGTAACATCAATCTAATTCATTCAAAATTGGCATGCAATGTGCATGGATGAATTGGGCCGCAAAGGCTTCACTCGGCCCATACTATAATGGGCTCAATGCTATAATATCACCCGGTTGGGTTGGGTTGGACAGATATTTGGTATGTATAATTTTGTTATTATTCTTTTTCGGCCCATTTGCATAATTTGTTAAGATAATCAATTAATTAATTATATATATAACTAGACAGAACATACAATTAATCGGTCTTCATAGCTTCCAATCAACGGATATCGTTGGATTAAATCAGTCGAGGAGTGAACGGTTGGATTAGAAAGAGTAGAACAGCTAAAATAGGGCACAGAGTTGCTAAGCGAAACCCATTTGATATAAAAGAGCTGGTCGAAATCGATAGTATAAATTCCTCGCGTGCGCTTTCGGATTTGGATCGTGTGTTTTTGTTTCCCAATCCCCTTCCCAGTTCCCAGGCTATGTGCTTGCTATGGCCAAGCCTCGCAAGCCCAAGAACACCGACGACGCGAAGCCACCTGACAACTCCGGAGCTGTAGTTCGTCACCAGAAGCTTTGTCTCTCCATCGACATTGACAAGCGTCGCGTTTATGGGTTTGTCTTAGCTCTACCTCCTTCAATTGTCATCGCTACTCCTTCCTTTCATCTTCCCATT